TTCTTTTGTGGCATTTGCTTGAGCACGTCGTCGTGAAGGAGGAACATACGCATTTGGGTTCTTCGTTTGGAGTGGCTGTGGCTGAATTCTTGCTTGCGTGGGTGCCGCTGGTGGCGTCGGATTTGGAGCACCGCTTGATGTAACCTAAATACAACTTACTAATAAAACCTAATAATCAAAAACAACAACCAAAAAAATAAAACCTTGAGCTCTTGCACCCACCATATGTTGGAAATCTCACCATCGAAACACCCGGGTAGTATGGCATATACATCACTCGTATCGTCTCAGGATACCGAACAGCAAAGACAACTCTTTTAACTTCCCCAAAATTATGCTTGGTCTCACAGCCTCTATTCGCCGCGAGTAATATGCAAGAACAAAGCAAGGCAAACGCTGTTCAAGATGAGATTGTGTACAGGAGCAGTAAAACAGAACATTAAGGGCGGTTTTCGATCCTCGGTACTCCAATTTACACTTCGTGGAAAACTACAGAATATTCAGAGAGTACCACAGAAAGCCTTCAGATGCTTACTTGTTTAACAGTCGTGAAGAGTGCTGCACGATCAAGAGTTGTTGCCGCTGACGGATTTGCAGCACCGGCACGTTGCCATGCGTTGGTGGTAATTCCTCGGCCTGCTCGAGCACCCGATGGGTCCCTGTCAGAAGTCACTGTCGTAAAACCATCATTTCGTCTAAAAGCAAAAATATAAATTTCATTCGATCACCACAAAACCATATGGCAGATGAAAACTTTACTGCATAACTGTAATGGCGCCATTGACACACCGAGTGCCTACACTACCAGTCGGGAAATCGTGAGAATCTTAGGAGAAATAAGTCACTTACGGTTACCACTGCGCTCAGCTTGAGCAAAAGAAAACAGAATCCTAAGAATACCGTGAGAAAAGCAAGACAATAAACTCAACACAAAGAAAACACGGACCGTTTTTTCTCGTCATCTTTTCTCAGTTTTTCAATTTTCTTGGCATCCTCAAAAGTCGGGAACATTTCCTGGTCATTGATGTTTGGTACACCACCAGCAGTTCTGTTGACGGCATTCTGCAAAAGGCAGCGAGGCTTCCAAACACCCGTTGTTTGCTTCTGAGGCACTGGCATAATCACTTCCTCGGATTCCTTTTTCTGAAAATCACACTTGTATAGAATGCAAACAAAGGAATAAGATGAATGGATGTGCCTCAAATCAATCCAATCCCACTGCTAAAAGTTAAAACATTCATTTTCACACTTCTCCCGGGTGCTTTACGTAGAACCAATAGGGGACACGCACCAGAACTGCCTATGCGATCATGCATTTTTTGTACAATCGGCGTGTCCTAATGTGAAATTTTTTGAACTGAAAATTGACTTCAGACATAACTGGACAAACATATATGCATATAGCCTTTCGATTGTGTGTTTTTACGCTGCACAGATGCAAACAATGCACAAAAATTTAACGATTCGACAGCCAAACAGACATACTTGAGCGGTGTTCCATGTCTTCGGTGCTTCATTTGAAATAGCCTTCCCGTCCTCCAGCGCTTCCTCAACTTGCTCAGTGAGGTTCATATCGCGAATCCCAAGTTCTTCAAGCACTATTTCCCTAGAACTGCTTGATTACCAGCACAAATAAGTTATCTTACAAAAAGTGTAACTCACCCCACCAAACTGAAAGTCAAAACTTTTAAAACTCTACTGTCAACCCAACCTTTTTTATATCTTTACCTTAAAATCCCACCATTCTTTATTCATATAAAAATGCGCTGACAAACTTGCAGCACTGAAGTTAACATCAGAAGGGGGAACCCCTTTGTCTGTCCCTCAACCAAATGTTCAGCTAAGACAGTAGCTTTTCTAACAGTCCTCTGCTGGCTGAGAAAGTTAAATATTTGTAAAATTTAAAAAAAAAAGCTAGTGGAGTAGTTTAAATCACGAAATAGTGCTAAGTTGAACATGTGTCGACGACAGACAAACAATGCGGATTGCTGAAAATCACGAATAAGCCATTATAAAGATGAAAAAAATTCAATTAAACACCAATTATGTTAACGCAGCAAACTTACAACGAGAGAGGAAAAATCTCGTCTGCACCACTGGTAAAAGACAATCGTTCAAATCATCAAAATATAAAGCAGAAGATTTTTCGCACATAATATTAATGAATTCTCCCAGAATTACCCTATTTTCATGAATCAAAAAAAAGTATAAACGAAGAAGGGAAGGGAAGGGAGGGGGGCGGGGGG